AAAAGCTCACTACCGTGTTCATAAAATGAGGCCACCGGTTCATATCTTAAACCAAATTAAGCCAGTATACACATTTCCACTCTGTTTCTTTAAGATACTTTTTAATATTATCCTCTCATCTAAGCTTGAATTTTCAAGGTGGTTTCTTTCGCTCAGATCTGTTAATGCATTATATTCTTCTTCTTCTTCCAAGCATTAGGTTTTATGACCTGTTACAATTCAGATGGACCTAATGGACCTAAACCTTTTAAGGAAGAATAAGAAGGTTACAGGTCAATACGTATCTCCTGAAACAGCAGGCTTTGTCTCATCTTGTGTGATGTAATCATTAGGTCTGTCCTTACTCCTTAGCAACACGTTCGTTCTGACAAAATTCAGTTAGTTCATTACAAGTTTTGATCCTCGGACTTTTATCAGATGAATGCTTAGTCAATTGGAATAATTAATTGAAGCAGTTTCAAGTCATAGTTCTTATACGCTTAACTGCAGAATGTCCCAAAGAAGATTTATATACAGCAGAAACTTTGGTGGTTGATTGTCAGTCGTTTGCTCTCTGCTGTCAACTCCGCCATGAAATTAACAGACGTCATTTTGGTCATTTTGAACACCTGTTCACTAAGTGCCAATGCTGAGGTATATAATGGCTTAGTTTATTAAGATGTATGTACTTCATTCATTGAATGTGTAGCCATCTTTTGGGACATTCTGTGCTTTATTTGGTGATGTGAAAGTCAGTTCTGCAACTCGCGGTCGCCTGAAAGCTGTAGTGTCAGAACATGGCTCGGTTTTAAGTGGCCTGAAGCCTGCCATAATAATCTTTCAGTTTGCCATAAGAACAAATGCAGTCTTAACGGCAGAAACATCTGTTGCTGTAAATTAAAAATATTTTTATTGGCGAGCTGGACTCAGACTATCAGGTACAACTCCTCAGTATTAAGATCTCACCAGTCCTGTTAATAACAAGATTTTTAAAACTCTTCATAATTTTTGGCTGTCAGAGAAACTACAGGTTCATTTGTTTTTTGTCGGCTTAAGATCATAATATAAATTCATTTTAATATCTCAATTATATCACCAAAAAAGGACCCTCACGCCTTTATTTCTTAAAACGTTCCTCTTTTTCACCTTTTATTTCCAAATTTAAACTGTATTATATACACATGGGGAGGGGTGTCTGGGCTGTACAAAATAGTACAGAGAGTTTTAAAAACACATTAATTTATTAAGCAGAATTTGATATTTTCACTGCGGTTAGTAAGAAGATGGCTATCCTCTGGGTTGCAGCACCTTACAGTCTTTTAGACGTTTACCGAAGTTTCAGAAGCCATTGCTGCCTCCATCATCGACGTGATGAGGCCCCGATAATGGAGACAGCGAAACATTCTGAAACGTCAGTAAACTTCTACCAGACTACACGGTGCTATAATACAGAAGAGTTGTATTCTGAGATCAGTGGCTGTAACCATGGAGCAGATATTGATAATCGGGTAATTGCACAAGAGATTTCTTGTCTTTTATGAAACCCTGTAGGTCGTTGCCACGTTCACAGAAGCCCGTTACTGGACGCCATCCTGAACAAGATCAATCCATCCATATATTCACATACTGCTTTTAATATTATTTCTATGTAGTCTCTTTTGTACAGGTCTATAGACTACACATTTCTCATCTCTATCACGCATGCTACATTCCGCACTCATCTCATCCTTCTTCATTTGATCACCAAAAAACATATTTGGTGAGGAGTATAAATTAGGCTTCGCCATGTTCGACCTTCTGTTTTTCGTTCCTGTTAAATGTAAATATTTTGCTCGGCGCACTGTTCTTAAACACACAGCCTCTGAATTTTCCACCCATTTATTACAACGGTTGTAATAAACTGAAACTGTATTAGATTTGAGGTTATCACGGCGGTCGAGAACTAGACCTCCTAGGACGTAACGCTGTGTGGACTTGCAGGTCGATACATACTCCTTCGAGAAACATTCGGCACACATCCCTGAAGATGGAGGCAATATTTTACTTTGAAACCTTGGTGTCTAACTCCAAATCCGTGCAACTAAAGTTATGGTTTTTTGTGTTTTGATCTTTGTTTATATGTGTTAACTTTGTAACTTTGGGATTATTAATTATATCAGTTTGTTAACCCTTTGAAGCCGAAGATCGTCTGAATATTATTTATGAATTCAGTCCGTACCGCGAAGAAAACACTACACCTCACCATTACGAAAATCAGCTGGTTAACCCTTTGAAGCCGAAGCTCGTCTTCATAATATTTACGAATCCAGACCGTACCGCGAAGAAAACACTTCACTTAACCATTAGAAGTCGAATCAGGCGGTACCACATAAGATTTAACATCCCGGTCAAAGCCTTAACAACCTGCTTACGACAGCGCCTGTGTAGTGAGGCGAAGAACGCCTTTAGAAATCCAACGTACTCCAATAAACACACCCTGTCAACATTGATTAAAGCTTGAAATAATTTAATCTTCAATATTTCTAATCAGACATTTAGACCGACGATCAGAGCTTAGAACCAAGCGTGTGTCTGGTGGCTTTGAAGTGCGAGACCATTGCTCAAATGCAAGCAACGTTCAGTCGTAGTTTAAATACTGAGTGTCTTCTATTCCAGAGAACCACGAACTGGTTTCTGCTTCATGCTAATAGATCCAGTGATATCGGACAGTTACGGCTACCTGCTACACTGAAAGCCATCGCCTGTTTGCCTCATCTTTTAAAAATGCAGGGTTTTAACTTCACTGTAGTAGTATAATTTAAATAATTCTCTGGAGATGAAATTAATGTCTGTAAGCTGTGTGAAGTTTCTAACTGATTTGCTTTACTTGAATGTCATAAAATGGACCCGTTCTGAAATCATGTGCATTTGTTTTCATCTTATGAACATGAATGTTCCATTACGTGTTTACGATATTCAGTCTTCATGAACGTAAGTGGACAAAATGTAATTCAGCTTTGTATTGGTATATACTCAGTCTATGTATATGTGTGTATGTTTTGGGGCTTGTGTATGCACATCGCTGGTTCCTGAGTGGAATGAAAACGTACATAAATTCATACCGAAATATGATTGCTGCTTTCGCATTGCCAGTAATGTAGCAAAACTATGTTCATGTCTAAATTTTGTATACATTTAAGCCTTTTTTATTGGCAGTTCGGAGTTTATTTATCCTGAACTTTTAAGGCTTGTTAGCATTAATTCTGGCATTGGCGATTTATATCAAAATGTGCATCGTATGTGTATGTGTGTGCATGAGGTACACACGGCTCTTTTTAATGGGCCGCATACCACCGTAGCGTATCTCTCGCTGTCTCTCTCTCTCGCTGTCCTCCGGACGCATTCATAGCCAGCCACTCCTTTCAGATCGTCTTTTATTGTTTTCCACCTGTGCTTAGCTTATAAAACCGTGGAATTCGAAATCTATTTGAGAAGTTGAAACGATTATAAAACGACAGTGACTACTTTTCAACATTATTTTCCAGAGTTGCCTTCTGCTGCTATCTCTGATTGGTCATCTTACGAACCGACCTGAACTGTGACGTTTCACAGAGAAGTATCATCCCACAAAACTCGCTTCAGTATTCGGTCCACACAAATACATAACAACTTGAAAGTCGACCACATTGTGATCCCAAACTGAATAACTTGTTCACAAAGTTAGCTATCTGAGATAAAGACACAGGGCAATCAGTCGCTATGGGATTAGTATTCGATATTTCGGAGACATCAATGCATCTAATCGCCTTGGAAATGCACTTTATATTTATAACTAATCAACCAAATAATGCAATAAGTAAGTAGGTACCAAAATAACAAACTATCTAGCTCAAGATGGCTGTCCTCTGCGTTGTTTCGATATATATACTGATAATAGTTTACCGACGTTTCAGTGGATCATGAGGCGTCCGCCATGGGGGCGAAGAGTAACTGCAAACCTAACCGACTCTCCCCACAACATATTCTAAGATAAGTCAATGCAGTAAAGTCCGTCTTCAGAAGTTAATAATCCATCAGCTATCCAAATATATTCCGACCGTTTGCAAAACTTGAATGATCATTTTAATGTGCACAAAAGCCAGCAACTTAACTCTGTATTCAGGTAGACGAATAAAGTCTAAACCATCATATTTCTTTAAAATTATTTTTAATATTATCATACCATTTAAACATGACAATTAGCAGAGGAAAACCGAAGAACTCGGAGAAGAATCTCTCACTTTATCCACCACGAATCTTACAAGAAATCATCCGCAATGAACCTAGATCTCCGCCTGAACTATGACACGACCTGAGATACAAATAGTACGTTTATTCACAGAAATAAACTACTTAAATTTTTAGAGGTTTAATACAAAATGTAATACACTACATACCAACTATTTTCTTTAAAAGAATTTCAAAGGAGAGTAATAACGTTTTACTGTCGTAAACTTCAGGACTTAGCAATGATTTATATTAAGACCTTAAATGTGAAATTGTTGTATTTGTTCCTTTCTTTCTAAACGTCCAAACTTTAAAACAGATTTTGTAAATTAATTTTTAATTTTCGTTGAAGCCAGAGTCTACTGTACCTTTAATATGAATTAGGTTACCACCTATATCGTGTTCCAGATGTTTCTCGTCCATATTTCAGTTCGGATTCTATTTTCTGATCTTACAAGTGGCAGCTTTCCAAAATTGTGTATCACATGCCCAACCCAACTCTGGAGTGCATAGCGTTAATGAAATAATTGCCGTCATAAAACGAACCTGATGAAAACCATATACTGCCGAAACATGTAGTTTGACACAAACACTTATTAAGAGTGCAATAGTGTGTGTGTAAAAGTTACTGTAACAACAAACATCAAGAGTTTATGAGAAACTTACTTCGACATTTTGAAGATCCATCAAAACTTATAATTTTTCTTTAAAGAATTGTAGGACAAGGAGAGGAAATAATGAATAAATATGGTACTTGAAAGTAACTGAACACTAAATCAAGTTTTTTGTAGTGTGTAATAATGTGTATTTTGTCAGTTATATCCACGTCTGACCATTTTCATAAATAATAAATAAAATCAAGACATCCAGTTCGTTTTTGATTCGGAAATGGTGCACGTATTTTGAAGTTCGCAGATTCTTATAAAGTCACAGAAACAGACCCTTGTTAGTTGACACTTTGTTATACTTTCGCTTATTCCTGGCTAATACAACTGAGGAAATTGACATCAACACTTTATACTGCCCTATCTATATATACAAATAATAAGGAAAATAACTTACGAATATATCACGAAACATTTTCTCCAGCCTAAAATGCAACGGACAACATAAATATAGCCATGATATCACTTTTTGCTAAGCCGTTCTATTGGCTGGAATGTGTCTCATTTTGCGTCGGGAAATAAGGAGAGATTCGGTTTATGGCACAACATTATCTGAGGTTTATAAACGACGTTTCGGATGTTAATTCTACTGTAGAATATGTATATTGGCAGAATATATTTTTTATTTAATATATTTTATTTCTCGTAACAGTGAGAGTAATGGAACTCGCACCTCGTGAAATACTTAACTATTTTATTTATATTATTAAATAAAGTCGTTGATTTAATTGTGAAAAAATTAACAATGTATACATGTTAAAATTCCAGTACAGCTTTAGCCTGTATTATAAAAAAAACAACACGATACTCGCAAAGTGTCTATTGGATCGAAATAAGACAATTTCATACAAATTTAGTTAATATATAAATTTTTCCATCAGCGTAAATTAAGTCAACTGTAGTTACATGTCGTTATGCTGGCTATGTGCCCTCCTTTTAGGCTTTTAATCAACTGTCCGATCTTCATTGTATTTAGTATGTGCGTTACGCCATTGAAGACAGAGACAACATTGTAATTTAGTTTAATAAATTAATTTAAATTTAATGTAAAACAAATACGACAAACGTAGGAATTTAAGTGATGGAAGTAACACTACAATCACCTAATTTAGTGTCTTGACATGATGTAGATACATTGATCTTCCAGAAACGCTGAGTTGTTTTGTTAAGGCACAATTTTGTGAAATATGAGAACGATGTGGCGGGAATATACAAATTTTAATTTGGATTTCAGTTCGACAGCTATAACTGCTAGACTGTTGGAGCTATAAATATGAAATTTAGTAGGAAGATCGACTATAAACATCCGAACGAATTGTGAATAAAATACAAATTAAAACTTACAGAGGCGATAAATATATGAATGCTTCTGTAGTTATGATATTGATCAATAATTTCTTAGCAATTCAATAATATCGCTGTAACAAGTTTAAATTTTCAAGCAATATTAGCAATGACATGATTAGATATTATGACCACCTGCTCACTTACTAAGCACGAAAACGTATAAAATAAATTGCACTTTGCTATTGGATTATATACGTACCCTATCTAAATAAAACTTTGAAGCACAAGGCATGCAGTATGAAAACTCTGTTTAATTTGAAATATGAGATCTGAAGTGAAATTTTTGTCATAATCTGCGGCTTATTTAATGGGATAAAATTACGCTGACAATTTATTCGTGTAAGCGTAATATTTGATATGGTAAATTTACAAGTTTCGTGGTAGGGGTGTGCGGCTTGGAGCGGAAAATTTGTGACCGATAGTACATGAAGTGTGCTGGTTCTAGGATTTCTTTTTAGATTTTATGAAGTTATATGACACACTTCTTGGACATATACTCCGAATGAGTGATGATAGAGGATGTAAGATGATCGTCAATAGTAAACCTCCGGGCAAATTTAAGAAAGGAAGACCGAAACTCCGGTGGATCGAAGACGTGGGGTCTGATCTTAAACAGATGGCCGTAAGAGGCTGGAGAAGGAAAGCACAGAATAGGGAAGACTGGGCTACACCGAAAGGGCCGTAGTGCTAAAGAAGAAGAATATGACACACTTAGTTACCAAGACTGCACCATGATCACATTTCTTTATCTCACTGCCGAGTCTTTCTAAAAAGGAAATATGAAAAATCTCTCAGATTTGTAAAATCGCTGTACACCAATGAATTGTAACATATGTAAGACCAAACCGAAAAACAATCTTTGCAATTAAATCTGTAAATCTCCGCCCAAAAATTATGCTTTAAACAACATTTTCAATTCTATGCATATTTTGAGTAAAATTCGTTTAATAGTGGCTTACGTAAACCAGTTTCACATTTCGTGTATTTTGTCAGGTGTTTACGTAAAAAAATTCGACAACTGATTTAAAAAATGGATGAAGGAGATGCGTATTTGTAAGAAAATCTTGAAAACTGCCATATCAAAAAGTAATTTTACATCCCGAAACGTCGTATATATTACAATCGTGTAATGCCATTAAATCAGCCACTGTCACAAACCTTCTTATGTACATTAAATGTCCTTCGTCGTGCTATATTCGTGTTGTGAGGTTGGGGTGTGTCTGTAGGAACTGTAACACGCTCAGCTCGGCGATCGGGGTGGTTAGTACAGGTCTCCAAAGCTGAGGGTCTGTGTGGTTTGGGCGTGGTGGTGGTGGTGGTGGTGATGGTGAACCTCGTCTGGAGGCGGTAGGCTGTTGCTGTCTCCTAGGATCACGGATGCTGAGCCCACCGAGGGGGGACCCCCGCCACTGGCACCGTTGGTATTGCCAGGAGCCACTGCCTGCTGACCGTTCTCCTGCCTCATCAGGTTCCGGCGCCACTTGGCTCTCGCGTTCTGGAACCACACCTGCGTAAACGGTGGCAAACCACGTCACAATCACTGCGTTCGTAATAGGAACGTACAGTGGAGAGTTCGTGAGGTCACTCCCACACGCCGAACGTCCTGTATTGTTTTCGAGGGACCCCGGGTTGAAATCTCAACACGGTGATCGGCTATCCTGTCTGACGCTTTTCGTGATTTTCCTCAGTTTTTCCAGGCAAATGTTGGGCCAGCACCTTGTGATCTTAGCATCCTGTTTTATAACATGATTTGACATTTTATATCGAATAATAACAATTTGACATACCCAAGAGCAGTGGTGAGGATAGATTATTTACAAATTTATCATAAAGGTGTAAATGTGAGGTTATGGACTGGATTAAACTGGCTCGTGACTTGGATATATTTGTGGTTTGTTGAGAACACGGTAACAAACATTCGGGTTAAATAAAACGCGTTTAGTTCTGTGGATATGACATTCTCAAAAAACATATTCAACCCTTTAAAACACAACGGTAACATGTCCGAACAGAGGGTTAAACTTTAATATTTATATCCTGAAGTACCTATTCTTTGTTGTCACAAATCAGTCTGCGAATTAGTCATGTAAATGGTAAATATTTGTTGTGATGTAATAACATTCTAAAGATGGGTACATAACTCTAATCAGGGGATAGGCCTAATATTTTGTTCTCGTTGTAGACACAATGCGACTGACGAGTAGGCAGTAGAACCACAGGGGCTTGGGTTCTGTTAAAGGCCAGACCTGTAGGTCGCGACTCTGGGGTCGATGGGTCGATAGAAACATTTTTCATCAAAGCACGGCTGCCAATGTTCAAGCGTTTTAAATCAATCCCAGCTGCTGTTGCTCATCCCTTCAACAGAGTGTAAGATAAT